GCTCAACTTCCCTAACTTGCTGCTGCTGTTTCTATCTCTCTCAAATTTCCGTAATCTTGAGTAGTATAATGTTTAGTATTTTGTAATGTTTAGAATTGAGATTTGTATGGCATGTGTTGTTCAGATTTGTCTAGTACTACTGTTCAATATATGTGCTCTGTTTATCAACTAGTCATTTGTAAGAACCTAGCTTACTTGTCTATTTTTGTGCTGTTTGTGCTCTCTATCAAGTGAGTAGTTTGAACATCTTTAATTCTTAGTCCCTGTGTTAGCTATGTACGTGTGAGTATTGAAAGTGCAACTATCCCTGGGTGGTTTTGGTAATTCCTAACAACATATAGCTCATTGAGCTAACACTATTCCAAGATTAACATTTCAGGAAAAGCTCAATGAATGGCATGGCATGGATGAGGAAAGTGGATCCCTCAAAATTCTAAAGACAAAAGTTTGTCTCAAGCTTGAAGCTCAAGACTCTACATTTTCTATTTTAGTGATCCAAGATCACATTGAGTCTATAGGAAAAGCCAATACTATCAAGGAGGGATGAGGTGTTGCTTAATGAGCCTCTTGCTTCATGTGCTTAGTGATATGCTCCAAAACCCTCAACTATCTTCCCACATCCACATATGACCTAAACCAAAAATCAAACTCGGCCCCACCGATTCTTTCTATCCGGCGCCACCGAGTTTCACATGTCATAGCCACTGCCACAAACCCTAGCAATTCGGTCTCACCGATAGGGATCTCGGTCTCATCGAGATGGGATTGTAATCTCTCTGTTTCCCTTCGTAACGTTTCGTCTAACCGAAGTGAGCGATCGGTCCCACCGAGATTGCAATGTAAACTCTCTGTTTCCCTTTCGTAACATTTCGGTCTCACCGAAAAGAGCGAATCGGTCCCACCTAGTTTACCTGACCAACTCTCTGGTTAGCTTATTACCAAAATCAGTCCCACCGAGTTTGTGTAATCGGTCACACCGAGATTACGTTATGCCCGAACCCTAACCATATCGGGCCTACCGAGTTGCATCTTAGTCCCACCGAAAATCCTAATGGTCACTAGGTTTGCTGAATCGGTCTGACCGAGTTTAACCATTTGGTCCCACCGAGTTTGGCAAATTATGTGTAACGGTTAGATTTTGTGTGGAGGCTATATATACCCCTCCACCCACTCTTCATTCGTGGAGAAAGCCATCAGAACACATCTACACTTCCAATACACATGTTCTGAGAGAGAACCACCTACACTTGTGTTGAGCTCAAGATATTCCATTCCAACAATATGAATCTTGATCTCTAGCCTTCCCCAAGTTGCTTTTCACTCAAATCTTCTTTCCACCAAATCCAAATCCTGTGAGAGAGAGAGTTGAGTGTTGGGGAGACTATCATTTGAAGCACAAGAGCAAGGAGTTCATCATCAACACACCATTTGTTACTTCTTGGAGAGTGGTGTCTCCTAGATTGGCTAGGTGTCACTTGGGAGCCTCCGACAAGATTGTGGAGTTGAACCAAGCAGTTTGTGAGGGCAAGGAGATCGCCTACTTCGTGAAGATCTACCGCTAGTGAGGCAAGTCCTTCGTGGGCGATGGCCGTGATGAAATAGACAAGGTTGCTTTTTCGTGGACCCTTCGTGGGTGGAGCCCTCCGTGGACTCGCGCAACCGTTACCCTCCGTGGGTTTTGAAGTCTCCATCAACGTGGATGTACGATAGCACCACCTATCGGAACCACGCCAAAAACATCTGTGTCTCCAATTGTGTTTGAATACTCCAAACCCTTCCCTTTACATTCTTGCAAGTTGCATGTTTTACTTTCCGCTGCTCATATACTCTTTTGCATGCTTGCTGGAATTGTGTGGAGATTGCTTGACTTGTGCTAAGATAGCTAAAATCCGCCAAGAACTAAAATTGGAAAAGGCTAGATTTTTATTTGGTCAAGTAGTCTAATCACCCCCCCTCTAGACATACTTCCGATCCTACAAGTATATATATGCTTGTGATGTGAAGTACTTCTGTTCTTGTCCCTTGATCTTAATTCTTTTCTTTCATACTAGTTGCTGAACATATATGTGTTGCTATCTTGTAGTTTTCCTTGTTTCTCATGTTAGCATGTGCTAGTATTTTAGTTCCCAAAGTAAAACAAATAAAAATACCAAAAATATAGTGAGTACATCTTATTTGTCAATGATTTTCTGGAACAAACTTGCTTTATTTTCGTTTGTCTTGCAATATCAAAAACCTTTTCGTCTGATCTAGCTTTGGCCGAGCACGACTGTCGTCGCCTAGTCCCTGAGGAGAATACGACATCCGTAGTTTGGGGCGTAAATATCCCGCTACACTTTCAATCGATCATTTTGGCGCCGTTGCCGGGGATCAAACCCGGGTCACCCGCGTGACAGGCGCCAAAATGATCGATTGATCACAAGATTTAATTCTAGTTCATTTTGTTCTCGGGATCATGCTCTCTTTAGGAACCATTTGGCACAGTCATCATTTAAACTTGTTGATCCTCTTTTATCATTGTAAAAGTTAAAAATGGTAATGCTTACTAGTATCCTACTGCTTTGTAGCACTCTTAACCATTGATTTTCACTAGCAAAAGTTCAAAGCATGCATTGTTTGGAGATCTACTTCACTGGGACATTCTCTAGTTAGTTCGCTGATCACTACCTTGCTCTTGTCAAATGCCTTTGCTTGAGGACAAGCAAAGATTTAAGTGTGGGGGTACTTGATAAGCACATTTCATATATACGATTTGGGCACACATATGCACCATTTATTGAGATATGTCAATCTATTCTTTCTTAGAATTATCGAATATTCAAATGATATTCACGAAAGAGCACGTGACTAGTAATTTGTTTATTTTGCAGAATAGGGCGAAAAGGCCTATAAACTTCAAGATTTGGACTATGGGGCTAATGGGAAGAGACAAGGGCAGGACAGAAAGATGGAGGGACCCAAGTGTGATGAACACTAAAGCTTGAAGGGTTTGCCTAAATAAGAGGAGGACCAACTTGTGCAGAAGGAAGAAAAGGAGAGGGGCCAGATTGGAAAGGGGAAGATCTGATCGAGGGGATCAAATCCCTAGCGCTCTCAATCCCCAAATCGGGTCTGGCATCTCTCTCTCTTTCCCTTACCCTCCTTCTCCACCTCCGGCCGCCGCCATGGCCAGACCGGCATGGTAGGTGCACCACCAGCAACCAGCGCCATCCATCCAGCCACCACTCCATCATCCACTCCATCTCCACCACCCGCCGCTACCAGCGCCGCATCACCACCTCGAACCACTGCGCCATCCATCACCATCTCCAGCACCGCCACCGCACACCATCCATCACCATATCCAACGCCACCACACCATCCTCCAGTCCTCCTACTGCTACCCTCTTCTTCCTCACCTCTGTTGTTGCTCCCCTGAACCCGAACTCCTTCTCCATCTCCAAACTGCATGCTGCGCCTCTGCTGAAGCCTTCTCTGAACCTACTGCTGCTTCTCTTCTTCCCTCGCCTCAAACTGCTGTTGCTCTCTTCTCCCCTGCGCCTCCATGCTGCTTCGACTACTCCTTTCCCCTGCTGCCTCTTCCCAAACCTTGCTGCCGCTCCTTCTCTGAACCTACTGCTACTCTTTCTCTGAACCTACTGCCGCTGCTCCTTCTCTGAACTTACTACTGCCCCTGCTGTCTCTCTCTTTCTCTCTGAACCCCTTTGCTGCTCCTCCTCCGCTCAACTTCCCTAACTTGCTGCGGTTGTTTCTCTCTCTCTCAAATTTCTGAAATCTTGAGTAGTATAATGTTTAGTATTTTGTAATGTTTAGAATTGAGATTTGCATGGCATGTGTTGTTCAGATTTGTCTAGTAGTACTGTTCAATATATGTGCTCTGTTTATCAACTAGTGATTTGTAAGAACCTAGCTTACTTGTCTATTTTTGTGCTGTTTGTGCTCTTTGTCAAGTGAGTAGTTTGAACTTCTTTAATTCGTATTCCCTGTGTTAGCTATGTACGTGTGAGTATATATATGCTTGTGATGTGAATTACTTCTGTTCTTGTCCCTTGATCTTAATTCTTTTCTTTCATACTAGTTGCTGAACATATATGTGTTGCTGTCTTGTAGTTTTCCTTGTTTCTCATGTTAGCATGTGCTAGTATTTTAGTTCCCAAAGTAAAACAAATAAAAATACCAAAAATAAAGTGAGTACATCTTATTTGTCAATGATTTTCTGGAACAAACTTGCTTTATTTTCGTTTGTCTTGCAATATCAAAAACCTTTTCGTCTGATCTAGCTTTGGCCGAGCACGACTGCCGTCGCCTAGTCCCTGAGGAGAATACGACATCCGTAGTTTGGGGCGTAAATATCCCGCTACACTTTCAATCGATCATTTTGGCGCCGTTGCCGGGTATCGAACCTGGGTCACCCGCGTGACAGGCGCCAAAATGATCGATTGATCACAAGATTTAATTCCAGTTCATTTTGTTCTCGGGATCATGCTCTCCTTAGGAACCATTTGGCACAGTCACCATTTAAACTTGTTGATCCTCTTTTATCATTGTAAAGGTTAAAAATGGTCATGCTTACTAGTATCCTACTGCTTTGTAGCACTCTTAACCATTGATTTTCACTAGCAAAAGTTCAAAGCATGAATTGTTTGGAGATCTACTTCACTGGGACATTCTCTAGTCAGTTCGCTGATCACTACCTTGCTCTTGTCAAATGCCTTTGCTTGAGAACAAGCAAAGATTTAAGTGTGGGGGTACTTGATAAGCACATTTCATATATACAATTTGGGCACACATATACACCATTTATTGAGATATGTCAATCTATTCTTGCTTAGAATTATCGAATATTCAAATGATGTTCACGAAAGAGCTCGTGACTAGTAATTTGTTTATTTTGCAGAATAGGGCAAAAAGGCCTATAAACTTCAAGATTTGGACTATGGGGCTAATGAGAAGAGACAAGGGCAGGACAGAAAGATGGAGGGACCCAAGTGTGATGAACACTAAAGCTTGAAGGGTTTGCCTAAATAAGAGGAGGACCAACTTGTGCAGAAGGAAGAAAAGGAGAGGGGCCAGATTGCAAAGGGGAAGATCTGATCGAGGGGATCAAATCCCTAGCACTCTCAATCCCCAAATCGGGACTGGCATCTCTCTCTTTCCCTTACCCTCCTTCTCCACCTTCGGCCGCCGCCATGGCCAGGCCGGCGTGGTAGGTGCGCCACCAGCACCCAGCGCCATCCATCCAGCCACCACTCCATCATCCACTCCATCTCCACCACCCGCCGCTGCCAGCGCCGCATCACCACCTCGAACCACCGCGCCATCCATCACCATCTCCAGCACTGCCGCCGCACACCATCCATCACCATATCCAGCGCCACCACACCATCCTCCAGTCCTCCTACTGCTACCCTCTTCTTCCTCACCTCCGTTGTTGCTCCCCTGAACCCGAACTCCTTCTCCATCTCCAAACTGCATGCTGCGCCTCTGCTGAAGCCTTCTCTGAACCTACTGCTGCTTCTCTTCTTCCCTCGCCACAAACTGCTGTTGCTCTCTTCTCCCCTGCGCCTCCACGCTGCTTCTACTACTCCTTTCCCCTACTGCCTCTTCTTCCCAAACCTTGCTGCCGCTCCTTCTCTGAACCTACTGCTACTCTTTCTCTGAACCTACTGCTGCTTGCTCCTTCTCTGAACTTACTGCTGCCCCTGCTGTCTCTCACTTTCTCTCTGAACCCCTTCGCTGCTAGTCCTCCGCTCAACTTCCCTAACTTGCCGCTGCTGTTTCTCTCTCTCTCTCAAATTTCTGTAATCTTGAGTAGTATAATGTTTAGTATTTTGTAATGTTTAGAACTGAGATTTGTATGGCATGTGTTGTTCAGATTTGTCTAGTAGTACTGTTCAATATATGTGCTCTGTTTATCAACTAGTGATTTGTAAGAACCTAGCTTACTTGTCTATTTTTGTGTTGTTTGTGCTCTCTGTCAAGTGAGTAGTTTGAACATCTTTAATTCTTAGTCCATGTGTTAGCTATGTACGTGTGAGTATATATATGCTTGTGATGTGAAGTACTTCTGTTCTTGTCCCTTGATATTAATTCTTTTCTTTCATACTAGTTGCTGAACATATATGTGTTGCTGTCTAGCAGTTTTCCTTGTTTCTCATGTTAGCATGTGCTAGTATTTTAGTTACCAAAGTAAAACAAATAAAAATACCAAAAATATAGTGAGTACATCTTATTTGTCAATGATTTTCTGGAACAAACTTGCTTTATTTTCTTTTGTTTTGCAATATCAAAAACCTTTTCGTCTGATCTAGCTTTGGCCGAGCACGACTGTCGTTGCCTAGTCCCTGAGGAGAATACGGCATCCGTAGTTTGGGGCGTAAATATCCCGCTGCACTTTCAATCGATCATTTTGGCGCCGTTGCCGGGGATCGAACTCGGGTCACCCGCGTGATAGGCGCCAAAATGATCGATTTATCACAAGATTTAATTCCAGTTCATTTTGTTCTTGGGATCATGCTCTCTTTAGGGACCATTTGGCACAGTCATCATTTAAACTTGTTGATCCTCTTTTATCATTGTAAAAGTTAAAAATGGTCATGCTTACTAGTATCATACTGCTTTGTAGCACTCTTAACCATTGATTTTCACTAGCAAAAGTTCAAAGCATGCATTGTTTGGAGATCTACTTCACTGGGACATTCTCTAGTCAGTTCGCTGATCACTACCTTGCTCTTGTCAAATGCCTTTGCTTGAGGACAAGCAAAGATTTAAGTGTGGGGGTACTTGATAAGCACATTTCATATATACGATTTGGGCACACATATACACCATTTATTGAGATATGTCAATCTATCCTTGCTTAGAATTATCGAATATTCAAATGATATTCACGAAAGAGCTCGTGACTAGTAATTTGTTTATTTTGCAGAATAGGGCGAAAAGGCCTATAAACTTCAAATTTTGGACTATGGGGCTAATGAGAAGAGACAAGGGCAGGACAGAAAGATGGAGGGACCCAAGTGTGATGAACACTAAAGCTTGAAGGGTTTGCCTAAATAAGAGGAGGACCAACTTGTGCAGAAGGAAGAAAAGGAGAGGGGCCAGATTGCAAAGGGGAAGATCTGATTAAGGGGATCAAATCCCTATCGCTCTCAATCCCCAAATCGGGCCTGGCATCTCTCTCTTTCCCTTACCCTTCTTCTCCACCTCCGGCCGCCGCCATGGCCAAGCCGGCGTGGTAGGTGCGCCACCAGCGCCCAGCGCCGTCCATCCAGCCACCACTCCATCTCCACCACCCGCCGCTACCAGCGCCGCATCACCACCTCGAACCACCGCGCCATCCATCACCATCTCCAGCACCGCCGCCGCACACCATCCATCACCATATCCAGCGCCACCACACCATCCTCCAGTCCTCCTACTGCTACCCTCTTCTTCCTCACCTCCGTTGTTGCTCCCCTGAACCCGAACTCCTTCTCCATCTCCAAACTGCATGCTGCGCCTCTGCTGAAGCCTTCTCTGAACCTACTGCTGCTTCTCTTCTTCCCTCGCCTCAAACTGCTGTTGCTCTCTTCTCCACTGCGCCTCCACGCTGCTTCTACTACTCCTTTCCCCTGCTGCCTCTTCTTCCCAAACCTTATTGCCGCTCCTTCTCTGAACCTACTGCTACTCTTTCTCTGAACCTACTGCTGCTGCTCCTTCTCTGAACTTACTGCCGCCCCTGCTGTCTCTCTCTTTCTCTCTGAACCCCTTCGCTGCTCCTCCTCCGCTCAACTTCCCTAACTTGCTGCTGTTGTTTCTCTCTCTCAAATTTCTGTAATCTTGAGTAGTATAATGTTTAGTATTTTGTAATGTTTAGAATTGAGATTTGTATGGCATGTGTTGTTCAGATTTGTCTAGTAGTACTGTTCAATATATGTGCTCTGTTTATCAACTAGTCATTTGTAAGAACCTAGCTTACTTGTCTATTTTTGTGCTGTTTGTGCTCTCTGTCAAGTGAGTAGTTTGAACATCTTTAATTCTTAGTCCCTGTGTTAGCTATGTACGTGTGAGTATATATATGCTTGTGATGTGAAGTACTTCTGTTCTTGTCCCTTGATCTTAATTCTTTTCTTTCATACTAGTTGCTGAACATATATGTGTTGCTGTCTTGTAGTTTTCCTTGTTTCTCATGTTAGCATGTGCTAGTATTTTAGTTCCCAAAGTAAAACAAATAAAAATACCAAAAATATAGTGAGTACATCTTATTTGTCAATGATTTTCTAGAACAAACTTGCTTTATTTTCGTTTGTCTTGCAATATCAAAAACCTTTTCGTCTGATCTAGCTTTAGCCGAGCACGACTGTCGTCGCCTAGTCCCTGAGGAGAATACGACATCCGTAGTTTGAGGCGTAAATATCCCGCTGCACTTTCAATCGATAAACGTCGCGGATGCCGTCGGAGAACGCGAAGATGATGGCTTCGTTGGTGACCTTGGGGATCTTGAGGCGGGTGTTGTTGAAGCGCTGGATGTACTTCTGGAGGGTTTCTCCTGGCTGTTGCTTGATGCGGCGCAGGTCACCCGCGGCCGGAGGACGGTCGCGAGTGCCCTGGAAGTTGGCGATGAAGCGGTTGCGCATCTCGTCCCAGGAGGGGATCCACCCGTGCTGCAGGTTCAGGAGCCAAGAGCGGGCCCCGTCCTTGAGAGTCATGGGAAACCAGTTCGCCATGACTTTTTCGTCGCCATTGGCTGCTTCGATGCTCAGCTCGTAGAGCTGCAGGAACTCCACAGGGTCCACGGTGTCGTCGTAGCGAGGAGCAGGTCTGGCTTGAACTTGCCTGGCCAAGCGACGCTACGCAACTTGGGGGTGAAGGCGCGGCAGCCGGCTGTGGTTGCCGGGGCCCGCTTCGGGAGTGGAGCTTGGTCTTGACGCGGCTCGCGCTGCGCCACCGCGGGCGGTGCGCGGTCTTGACGAGGTGGTGCGGGGAGCGCCGGCGCAGCCTCTCACGGCCGCGGGATTTCTTGGCAGCTTCTTTCTTTGCGCGCGTGCACCGGGGGCGGTGGATCACGCCGCGGAGGTGCGCGTCTCGGTGCCAAGGCACCGTCTTGGGGGTGAGGTGGTGGAGGCACGCCATGAGCCCCGTAGTCGCGGCTGGTTGAGGGGGAGGCAGAGAATTGGACGGCACTGGAGAGCCCCCTGCGGCGCGGACGAGCTCGGCGACGCGGTCGAGCCACTCCTCGTAGACTTCGTCGACAGGGAAGTAGCGCATGAGCTCATTCGCCGCGATGAGCGCAGCTCGTGCCTCCATGGGAGCGCTGTGCGTGCGGGACGAAGAACCAGCAGGGGTGAGCGATGGAGTAGCGGTGCGGCCGTCCTGCCGCACCGAGGGATGCAGCAAGGACGCCTGCTGCTCATTCCCCGCCAGGCCGGTGGCAGCGTTGGCGATGGGAGACGGAGAGCGACGAGGTGCCCCCCCCCCCCACAGGAGCCGTCTGAGCGACACAGGCGGAGAGGGCGGCCCAACGCTCAACTCGAGCACGGCGAGCGTCCGCCATGGAGACGACGGAGCGGCGGAGCAACGAACCGATGGAAGGGAAACCACAGCACACCCCTACCTAGTGCACCAAATGTCGGATGTGGGGTTCCGGCAAACCCTTAAGGTTCGAACACTGGGGTGCACGCGAAGTCTTTCCCTCCTACCGATCTACGCTCAAGCTCGCTAGGATCTTGCGGACGAACTCGACGAACTCACAACACAGAAAGAGACACGAGATTTATACTGGTTCGGGCCACCGATGTGGTGTAATACCCTACTTCAGTGTGGTGGTGGTGGATTGCCTCTTGGGCTGATGATGAATAGTACAAGGGAAGAACAGCCTCCTGAGGTTGAGGTGTTCTTGTGCGAGTGTTGGCTTCTCGCTCTGTTCGAGTTTTCCTACTACTGTGGTGGCTAGTCCTATTTATAGAGGCCCTGGTCCTCTTCCCAAATGTTGAGCAGGAAGGGAGCCAACAACGGCGGGAAAATTTGAAGGGGGGCAGCTAGTACAAGCTATCCTGACAAAAGCGGTCTTCGCCTGCGAAAAGCCCTGGGATGACGCCGTCTTGGGCTTCACGATGACCTCCGCCTTGCAATCCTCCTGGTCTTGGTCTTGTTGCACTAATATGGCAACCTTTGCCTGATGCCTCGGTACTCTTCGCATGCGCTTGCCTCCTTAGCACCAAAGAGGAAACAAGGACTCTGCACGCACCGGCGCTCGCCTGGCGCCCACCTGGCGCTGTTCGTCATGGCTCACGCCATGAGTCCCTCGTGAGGTTTGCCCCGCCTTGATATCTCCGCTCCTCATGAGCCTGCCTGGCTAGGCCACTCCAGAGGAGGCCTTGTGTCATCCGCCTCGCGAGGCTCGGGCCCTTGCGAATGTCTTGGATGCCTTGTTGATGAAGATGGGCCGTACGACCCGCTGCTTAGCCACGCCATGGGCCGTAGGCAGGAAAGTC